GCAAGTGAACTGGCACCATCTAAAACCCACGCGTGCTGGTATTTACAGCATTTCGGCCCTTCCAATGCCACAAAAATCTACCGTCACGAACGTACCCGGAGCCTCCTACTACTACTACTACTACTACCACTACTACCACTACTACTATTACTACTACTACTACTACTGCTACTACTACTACTACTACTACTACTACTACTACTACGACTACGACGACGACGACGACAACGACGACGACGACGACGACTACTACCACCACTGCTGCTACTACTGCTGTGCCACTACTGCCACTACTGCCACCACATAAGAGGGGAATGATGCCGCTAGCATTTTCCCATCATCAAGAAGCCATCATCACTATCACCATCACCATCACCATCATCATAGCCATCATCGTCGTCCTTCTCAACTGCCTCCTCCTCCTCCTCACCATCATCATTATCGGCTTCATCGTCATCATCGTCCTCGTCATCATATTTCTCATTGTTTCAGACATCGTGACTTACATGATCTACTTCCAGCGTATTCTTACTGATGCTTAGCTGGGATTATGGCAAGAGGTTGTAGTGATCATTAGCGCAAAGGCGGGGCCAAACCGCGAGCTCTGCAGGAATCGATTTTATCAAGCCACCTAAGCTTGAGTGAGTATAGGGATGGTAGTAGGCCTATAGTCCCCTTTAAGTAGATAGAAAATGGCTCTGGCTATGTTATAATAGGATCCCCATATACCCCATATTCTATGTACTTAAGGGGGACTATACCCTAAACCTTAAACGCTAAACCTGATATTCTATCTACTTAAGGGGGACTACACCCTAAACCCTAAACCTCATATTCTATCTACTTAAGGGGGACTATACCCTAAACCCTAAACCTCATATTCTATCTACTTAAGGGGGGGCTATATACTGTTGATGGAGGAAATCTTGCACCACCTTAAGTCCCTAAAGTCCTGCAAATTACAATAATTCAGGGCCCCTAGGTGCTGCAAGATTTCATCCACCAACAGTATTGTAATCCCTACCCTAAACCCTAAACCCTAAACCCTTAACCCTAAACCCTAAACCCTTAACCTTGTTTGAGGGCATTGTGTTTAGCAGTATTATACTGTCCAAGGAGCCCCAGGCCTCCACGAGGCTGAATGTCGAGCTGGGATGGGAGCGGGCCTAGGGTTGAGGGTTATTCTACGTATAGTCTCCCTTAAGTAGATAGAATATGGGGTTTAGGGTATAGTTCCCCTTAAGTAGGTAGAATATGAGGTTTAGGGTTTAGGGTCTAGGGTATAGTCCCCCCTATAGTCCAAACTCTTTAAAGGGGTTATATAGGGGGGTATATGGGGGATTACTATAGAGTTTATTTAGGGGGATACTAGGAGTTTAGACTATAGCTCATATAGTCCCCTTTAAGTAGATAGAATATGGGGTAATCTTAGGGTTATATTGAGGTTATATGGGGAGACTGGAAAAGAAGAAAGAAATTACTATAATTGGTTTTTCTGGTACAGCAGGCTGCCGTAAGGTGATTTTCAGGCCCCCTCACAGTTCCGGTATTGAGAAAGAAGAATGAGCTTGAGTGCAGCACCACGGGCCTAACGGCTTAGTAGGGTCTAGGCCGTGGGCGTGAGCTTGAGGAATTGGCTTTTCAAGTCCAAGGGTTTTGGGTTTAGAGTTTGGCCTTGAAGGTTTCAAGGTTATGGGCTTTGGATGGATGAAATCTGGCTTCACTGCACATGAGCTACCGTCAGTATTTGCCGTAGTCAGGGACCCTAAGCAGCGGACATAGGGGTCCCTCTTGTAGTTAGTCCCTAGGATCAGATAGTCCCTATAATACGGAACCCATGTCCATCAATTTTCTGGGGCAATATTGACTGTAGCTCACATACCTTAGTTCTACACGGGTAACTGGGGCTCCTCCATTGGTGCATCCGTTGTAAAGACGTCCAGAACTTGTTGATGGTCAGTAGGGAGTGCAGCGATGAACACGAGAACGGAAACGAGCATCTTAGAAGGGATTCTATACAGGCTACTGTAGCGATCCAGCGCAAGTGGTGCAGGACATCCCAAGGAGAGTCCTGTGAAGCAGCTACACTTCTTCCCCGCCATGCCGTTTGAGTTTTTTGTTTTGATAAAAAAACATCCCAACAAGCAGGATGAAGCCATAGCCTTCAAGAACCAGAACCCGCTGAACCTGAAACCCTCAACAACCCTGACCCGAACTCCGGAAATCCTACATCTTGGGTACTGTTCCTAACAGTTGGGTAATACTTATAATACGGTTATATCTAGCCCTTAACAGGACCCCTAATATAGACTGTTACTGGGTGGGGGCAGTACCCAAACTACATCCGTCTACCATTATTAACGAGAGCTCACCGCACTGTTTAAAAGTGAATCCCTAAACCCTAAACCCTAAACGCTAAACCCTAAACCCTAAACCGAGTCTAGAAGACCAAAGGAGTCATGGAAACTGAACCAATGAGGAAAAGGAAACTACTATAATTACCAATATTAATATAGGGTTATATATGGGTTATATTGGGATAATTGAAAAGAAAATGGAAACTACTATATTATAATGGGGTGTATGTACCTTGTATACCAGCAAGAACAGTTTCGTCTCTATCATTTATCCAAAAATACCCGCAATGTTGAGAGTTCAGTATTGGCAGAGGCTCCAAGAAGAAGCAGGTACAAGTCTCCTTGGGACGTAGCTTGGACCTTAGACCCTTAACCCTTTGGGATTCCCTTATATTCCTACTATAGGTACCTAAGGGTGACATTCCTCTCCTGTGCTGTGGGAGGTGCCCTACTTAAAGGTTCATGGGACTAAGTAAGCCCCCTTACTTGGCTTATGCATGTCGCACCAATTTTTAAGTAGGTGATGAGCCCGGTTATAAGTAGTTACTCAGTCCCATGAACCTTCAAGTAGGCCCTAAACTCCCTACAATCTAGATCTAGAGTCCCCCCTAAGTAGATAGAATATGGAGTATATGGGAGGGGTTATTATGTTATGGGGCATTTCCACATTCTATCTACCTAAGGGGGACTATAAGCCCACATCGCACAAGATCAATCCAGAGCTCTCAACCCTGAATCTGAATCGAAGCACGAAGCACTTAAACGCAACCCCTCAACCCTCCCCTAATCTAATATAGAGGCCTAAATAATTACCAATATTATGGTTTCATGTTCCTTTTCGAAGTATGGTGAATGGTACCTCAAATGGACCTCAAGATGATGTTGGTAATTATTTGGGCCCATCTAGTTAGACGCCCCCGGTCTTGAATTACTGGTGCTTCAATGGGAGTGGGGGAGTCGATCCCGATATTCCGCGGTTGGAACCACGAACTCAGGGGATGGACCTTTCATTCGTCGTTGGAAACCCATGATGCGCCAGAAGCCCCCAAAAGCCCGTAGGTTTAGGGCTTACTTTAAGGGTGCAAGGACCCAAATAATAGCATTTTAGGGCCTAAGTACCATTAATATAGTATTTGGGCCCTAAGACCCTATTATTTGGGTCCTTGCACCTTTAGGGTTAGGGTTTAGAAAAGCCTAACCAAGGGCCCACAGTTTGGAGACAGGAAAGAGGTAGGGGTCCCTATAGGGTCCCGTGATTAGGACCTCAGACAAATTAGTCCCCATACAAACCCCCAACAATGGTACCTATACATTCTACCCCACTCCCCCTCAAGCACCTCAACCCTAGAACCTCAAGGCAGGTGCAGCACCTCCGAAAAGTGGACGGGGGGCTCTTTTCCGATGCGCCGAAATGGCAGGCTTGGAGGAGAACTTGTGCTGGTTGCTACTGTTGATACTAAAAGTCCGAAACTACATAGTACCGTACTTCCTGTGGTTTAGCGTACCTAGGGTCATGCAGGACTTTTAGTATCCACCGTAGTACAGTGTTTAGGTTTTGGGGTTGCTGGTAGAGAGTGGAAAAGAACGTGGGACCTACTATTTCGGGTTTAGGGGTCAAGGGACAGAACATGTGCACATTAGAATTCAGAGTGTTATTTGAGTAGTATTTTATTTGGGGATACTATGGTACCCATTATAGAGTAAGATTATATCCACCTTTTGGGGTATAGTATTTTATATAAGGAACATAATCTTACTAGGTTCAACCATCAAAAAAACAT